GCATGTGGTGCTGGGGGATTGAACCGCAGTCCCTGTGCTTTGCCAAGCTTGTTCCAAGTAGGTGCTTTAGACCACTGAGCCATCTCACCAGCCCCATGTCCTTTTATTTATTCTCAGCTGAAATTTGACCATCTGTTTGACTTTTGGCGTGTGCACAGTGGGGTGGGACAGGTACTAGGGATCGAAACCTAGGCATGCTCTACCCTTTTTATTTTATTTATTTATTTATTTATGAGCTAAAATAAGCTTTTATTTCTGTAAGTTGATTTATCTCAAGTATTTGCTGCAAACATTGTGGCACACCCACCATGTAACCACCATATTGCAGTAACTACTACAAACTTTATTTATTTTTTTTTTCTGGTTTATTTATTTTTAATTTTTATTTTTTTATTTTTTATTTTTTAATTTTTAATTTTTTTTTTTTCTGGCAGTACCAAGGATTGAACTCAGGCCTTTGCATTTGCCAGGGAAGCGCTTATTCCACTGAGCCATCTCCCCGGCCCTACCCTTTTTATTTTAAAACAGGATCTCACTGTTAAGTTGTTCTGGCCAGCCTAGATCCTCAGCCTCTCTTAGTGTTGGGATTGCAGGTGTGCACTACCACAGCCAGCTAACTTCTGTTTGCCTTTATTTGTTTTTCTTGTTATGCCAAGAAGAAACCATATTTAACTAGAATATGGACGTTTATGTAGCACTGTGTCCCTAAAGTTAGCAAGATTCTCATTTATGACTATAAATCTTTTTTTATGACTATAAATCTTATGGATTTGCAAACTCACTTCCTTAGACTACCATCTGCCATAATTCTTTATATTCTGGTATTCCTTAGTAACTTTTATGTTTTTCTTATCATTTCCACTTCTCGTGTTGTCTGCTTTCTCATTTTAATCCCTTACCCTCCGTTCACTCACTATTGTATTCCTGTTTGCTTTGTCTCTTTCTAGCCTTCCTCACTGGCAGGATTGCCATGAATTGTGGAGTAAGAAACGGCGACGACAGCGACAAAGTGGTATTGTGGTGGAAGAACCACCTCCGTCCAAAGTTTCTCGGAAAGAAACTACCTCAGGGACAAGTGCTGAGCCTGTGAAGAGCAGTAGCCCAGCACCACCTCAGCCTGCTGCTGGCAAAGCGGAGCAGCCTGGGGCTGGGGATTCAGTAGGTCAGTGCTACAGTAGGGCCTTTGATTGCTTCCATTTTCTTTTCATTTTTTTCTTGGTACTGGGACTCGAACCCAGGACCTTATACTTGCCAGGCAGGTGCTGCACCACTGAGCTATAACCCTGGCCCATATTTTCTTAATTTAGCACACTTTGCCAGATTTTGAATGTCAGGTGCAGGGAGTATGTGCACATTTGTGTGTATGCACATGGATCTTTTAGTTTTGAATCCAGTGAGGCCTAAGGAAAGACGTTAATGTCCTCATTTACGGTGAGAGCATAAACCATATTTGGTACATGTGGTTCACAAAGACCATGATAGACCATTCTCCTTCCTAGAAATGAGGAATATTACATAGCACAAGTCAGTGAATTAGGTAAGCAAAATTTAAGGTTAGTTCACGCTTGTCTTTCAAATGTAATACACGTTTTAGAACCACATTATGTAGGCTTTGATAAGATTTTAGAGTCCAGTGTTAAATTACAGCTGCTATCATCAGTGATAGGGAACTTTTTAGAGACTGAGTGCCCAAACTGCAACCCAAAACCCACGTATTTATTGCAGATTGCCAACACTGCAATTAAACCTAAATACTAACGTTTGAGTTTAGAAAAAACAAGTGTTACCTGATGCTCAGCTGTTGGCGCAGCTGGGCTCACATGCTGACAGAGAGGACTCAGCTTGCCCATTCCCATTGTGGCGTACTTGGCATAGATTTGCCACCACTGTCAGTAGTCTGTCAGTAAACTGTTATTTGATCTAAATAAATCTTAAAATTGTGTCATAAAGAATTATTGTAGGGGTTGGTGAGATGGCTCAGTGGTCTAAAGCACCTACTTAGAACAAGCTTAGCAAAGCACAGGGACCGCGGTTCAATCCCCAGCACCACATGCCAGCCAGCCCCGCCCCCTGGTGGGCTGAGCTGGCCACACACACACACACACACACACACACACACACACACACAAATAAAAATAAATAAAAATTAAAAAAAAAAATTATTGTAATGAAATACCTCTTTGGTAAGTTTTTCTAAACTGCAGATACTTTTCTGATTCACTTTCTCTTTCCTGTACATGTACAGTGGTAATTATCAACATTGGATACATATTAGAACCATTCAAGAAATTAAAAAAAAAAAAATTCCTGAAATAAAATGCCAGATTTCTAGGGATGAGGTACAGGGCATCAGTTTGTTTTGTTTTATTGAGATGATGTCTCTATAGCCCAGACTGGCCTCAAACTTGAAGTGCTTCTGCCGTGCCTAGCCTGAAACTCAAAAGCTTAGTAATTCTGTACATTAAGGGTTCCAATCACTGATCATGAAGATAACAGATAAAATGGAATCACTTTCACACATATAGATGTTTTGTTTTGCTTTTTAGTTTGTTTTGTTTTTTGAGATAGTGTCTTACTCTGTAGCCCAGGCTGGCCTCAAACTCTTATGAAGATCCTCCTGCCTCAGCCTCCCAAGTGCTGGGATGAAAGGCATGTACCGCCATGCCAGGCTAGTCTGTATTATGTAAGCGAAAGTGTAAAGATTATCTACCTGTGTCATGACAGTTTGAGACATAAAAATGAGATGTTCAAAATGAAACCGCATTCTTCAGATATTAAGTTGCTGTTGCCAAATGAAGAAGGCAAAGGGCCCTTGCCCTGCCTTGTCCTCTTATGTTGGCTCCACTGTCTCCCCACAGGCCTTGGTGACATCACACAGCAGCTGAATCAAAGTGAATTAGCAGTGTTATTGAACCTGCTGCATAGCCAAACTGACCTGAGCATCCCTCAGATGGCACAGCTGCTTAACATCCACTCTAACCCGGAGATGCAGCAGCAGCTGGAAGCCCTCAGCCAGTCCATCAATGCCCTGACAGAAGCCACTTCCCAGCAGCAGAACTCAGAGCCCGTAGCCCCAGAGGAGTCTTTGAAGGAGGCACCCCCTGCCCCAGCAGCCCTGCCTTCAGCAGAACAGACAACCCCTGAAGCTTCAAGCACACCAGCTGACATGCAGAATATGTTGGCAGTTTTCTTGAGTCAGCTGATGAAAACCCAGGAGACCGCAGGCAACCTAGAGGAAAGCAACAGTGACAAGAATAGTGGGCCCCAGGGGCCCCGAAGAACTCCCACAATGCCACAGGAGGAGGCAGCAGGTAAACAGACCGGTCATGAATCTCATTGAGCTCAGGTGCTGTTATCCTCTTAAAAATCTCTTTAACATTTTGTTTTTCACATCAATGACGTCAGTTTCAATTTTTCTCTAACCTAGTCTACAGGAGAACATAGCACCAAGGTGATGTATTTCTTACCCAACTTCTTTTATTTTAAGTCTCAAAGCTTCTCAAAGCACCTTTTATATACTGATTCTTTTTCCATTTCATATAGGATGTAGGTAAGTAAAAATCCCTTTATTCTAACCGAGGAAAACACAGTCGTGGCTAGTAATGTCTTGAACCACTGTGTGGGTGGTGCCCAGCTGGTTGTAGAACAAACTGTTATCAACATTGTATTTCTTTACCTCTAGTGGAGTGGATGCAACATACAAGAGTTACCTGGAAGATCCAGTCAAGAAAACCCCAATAAAATATTCATTTTTATTTTTGGAAGAATAATTTGGGAGTAGCTCTAAGTAGATAACACCATATATTTACTTTTCAAGAATAATAGTGAATGAAAATGATTCCTATAAGTATGTGTTCCCCTGAAAGAAACAATGGAATGGACCCCAGTATTATAAAAAGGGAAAAAAAAAAGACCCTGAAAAATGGTATTATATCTTGATCTCACATGACCACAGCATGCAATTTATTAGAGAAAAAAGAAGTTTAAATTCTCTGATGAATTCTGATTCACAGTCTGTTTGCAAAATCTAACCTGAGTGTTTTCAGCTCCTTGGAAATTTTCACTATCCCTGAAGACCCCGTGAACTGGGGAATAAGAAGAGTCACAAGGGCTGAAGAGGTACCCTGACCCTTCAACTTTAGGGACCTGCAGTCACATTTCATGTGCAGTAGTGCAGAAAATACATGCTTTATGTTTAGTGCTCTGAGGTCCTATATTTTTGTATATGAAGATACAATTGCAAGGTAATAAAGACAATCCTTTACTTCACAAATAGGAAAACTGCATTCTTGGGAGTTTACATTTGGATATAATTGTTCAGCACAAAACTGGAGCTCATGTGCTTCTTGATTCACTTTGCCACTCTGTCATAATGAACAGTTGCTTTTAGGAGGCTCCAGGACCTGGAGTAACTGAAAAGGCAATGTAGAAATAAAGTAGCCTCTTTGTCTCATGTTCAGGTTCTGACTCTTTCTCCTCTGCCCACCAAAAATGATTCAGCTCTATTGAAAATGTGCAAGGCCAGGCATGGTGGCGCACGCCTGTGATCCCAGCACTCGGGAGGCAGAGGCATGAGAATCACTGCAAGTTTGAGGCCAGCTTGGGCTCCATAGTGAGCCCAAGGCCAGCCTGGGCTACACAGTGAAACCCTGTCTCAAAAAAAAAAAAAAAAAAAGAAGAAGAAGAAGAAGAAGAAGAAGAAGAAGAAGAAAATGCCTGAAAGAAGTGGGTCTAACTAAATAGCATAGTGATTAGAAGAAATTCACCCAATAGTTGAACCAACGAACTGTTGTTAGCCACATGATGAAATTGAACTAAAACTAAAGCCTAAACCTATGGCTAGAAATTGTTGGATTTACTTTTCAGAGGACAATGTAAAATGCCACTGCTAATTATCGTAATGTCTCATAGGCTCCTGTTTTCTTGAGGATTTACTTGGCCATCGCCCTGTTCATTGGTATTTCCACCAGAGGGCAGACTGTACAGGCCTGGGTGACAATCTATTGATTTGGCTGCTGTTCAGTTATTCTGTACCAGTTGGGCAGGGGTAGTGGTTGAAATCGAATGAATCAAAGTTTTTAAGTTATTTTTAAATTTACTTAATACCTCCGTACATTAGTACAGAATTGTTAAAAGATTGACAACATTAACAATTTAAATCTTAAAACAATATGATTTGTAATTCATATTTTTTAATTCCTTTAAGAAGTTTTAACTTTAGTTCTTTACAATCCATCTGTGTTGCTATTTTGAAATAGAATTTTCATTTTATATTATGTGAATTTGAGCTCAAGAATTCTGTTGAAGCACACAATTAGGCTATTTACATAAAAGATAAAGTTTAAATATGAAAAGTGGTAGTTGGAAGAATATAAGTTTAAATTTGCCCACTTTTGCAGTTCTGCATTTTTAAAATTGTTTGCCCTAAGTGTTAAAACACCTGGTGTTCCAGTTCATATATAATCCCCACATACTTTTAAATTACTGATACTTTAATGTCTTTATGTATTATATAGAAAGATATATAGTGTTGACAGCAAAAGGCTCTGAAATCATAAGTGCTTACAGTCCATTTAGCATGTTAGGAAATCTACTCTTTGAATTATGAGTTTTTTCCGTAGCTCACTATTGGTCCTTAAATTTACTTTCTCCTGCTACGTGTCACCCAAGCCATCAGTCAACATGTAACTTCCTCTTCCTGGGAAGCCATATTAGATGAATAATTTGTCCCTGGACTATTCTGGTTTTAAAACTAATAGTTGGCAACCTTGGAATCTTCTCAGGCCTGGAAAACCAGGACTGATCAACCCCCTTTTATGTTACATATGGCATCTCACCCTCAGTCTTACACTATAGAGGAACTGTAAGCTTAGTGTTTTTGTAGAATAAAATCAAGGTGAATATGCTAATTATGAAATTTATTAAAACAAAAAAATTGCTTTCAGTTTGTCTAAGTGATGACTTCATATCACTGCCAATTCAGAAATGGTAGAAAGACTATATGCATATTTTAAAACATGCTTCCATGAGGAAAAGAAAAATCAGTTATTTAGAAGCTGTTCCCAAGCTTTTCTTTAGCAGAGTGACTCCCAGTTTTCCAAAGGCACTGTTCTGACCATACCTCTGTCTCAGTGGTTTTGTTATGTCCTCAGTCTCACACCATTTTACATTTCTTCTCTCCTGCCTTCCCAGGAGTTCATTGTCAGACAAATGATTGCCGTGATTAGGCAAATTTAGACAACAGTGGAAAAAACAAAGTCTGGGGAAGTGGTTCAAGAATGACAAAGATGTTAGTGAAGACCAAGTTAGTATTAGTTGCTGAATACCAAGTTCTCAACACTGTCTCCAGGATAAAAGGAGGTTCATCAGCCCATTCTGAATGACACAGCTGTAGTCCTTATTTTTTTACAGAATGAAAAAAATCCAAAAGGTAGGAAAACAAAATAGAAAATTGTGGTAGATTAGTTTAGTTTTTACAGTTACTGTTAACATAAGTTGAATGATGGTGTGGTAGTTAATATTTTTCTTGACAATATGATTAGAAACAAAAGGTGAAGTTTGGAGAAGCAATTACATATAATAATGAGTAGTTTTTACTTTATTTCATCTCTCATGTATATTAAGTTTTATTTTAGGTTAACCTTATATCATCAAATATTCTGTAAATGTGTTAAGGCTATACAAGGTATCTGTTGTACAGCAAGATGATGTCCTAGAAATGTGACCACAGTGTGTATATTGCCCCCTCTCGTCTTCTTTCTACTGCCCTATGCTCAATAATGTTTTGGTCTAACAGCAACAAAAGAGTGGTGAGGTTGCCAACAGTCTACATTAGACAGTTCTTTAAGGAAGGAAATGGAGGCAATCTCAGGCAAAAATCAAGACGATGGCTTGAAACATCATCCTTTAACACCAACTGTTAGAGCCAGAGTGCAACTATTTTTAACAACTTGATTTTATAAATTTCAATTTTTGAATCCCAAGATTTTTTTCTTTATATATCTGGTAATTTGTATTGATATTTGTTTATGTTGGGCAGTGAATGTGTATGTGTGAGTGCGTTTGTGCTTATAATCACATGTGATTTTTAAGATGGTGTTTAAAAGAAGTAACCCTTCCACAGCATGTCCTCCTCACATTCTTCCACCAGAGAAGAGGCCCCCTGAGCCCCCCGGACCTCCACCGCCGCCACCTCCACCCCCTCTGGTTGAAGGCGATCTTTCCAGCGTCCCCCAGGAGTTGAACCCCGCCGTGACAGCCGCCTTGCTGCAACTTTTATCTCAGCCTGAAGCAGAGCCTCCTGGCCACCTGCCACATGAGCACCAGGCCTTGAGACCAATGGAGTACACCAACAGACCCCATCCAAACAGGACTTATAGAAACACTGATGGGCCTGAAACAGGGTTCAGTACCACTGACACTGACGAACGCAGCTCTGGTCCAGCCTTGACAGAATCTTTGGTCCAGACCCTGGTGAAGAACAGGACCTTCTCAGGCTCTGTGAGCCACCTTGGGGAGTCCAGCAGTTACCAGGGCACAGGGTCAGTGCAGTTCCCAGGGGACCAGGATCTCCGATTTGCTAGGGCTCCGTTAGCATTACAGTCAGTGGTTGGGCAGCCATTTGTGAAGGCAGAGGGAAGCAGCAACTCTGTGGTGCACACAGAAACCAAGTTGCAAAACTATGGTGAGCTGGGACCAGGAACTCCTGGGGCCAGCGGCTCGGGAACAAGCCTTCACTGGGGGGCCCCGGCTCAGTCTTCTGCTTTCGGAAAACTCTATCGGGGATCTGCAAGAGTCCCACCAAGAGGGGGACGAGGGAGAGGAGTTCCTTACTAACCCAGAGAGTCCATTGTCCTGAAAGTTCCTTCCCTGTCCCATCTTTCCATCCAGTTCTCCGAACCTTTAATGAAATCACTTGCCAGAGTGAGGTAATCTCATCTGCATTTGGCTACTGCAAAGCTGTATGTTGTAGTCCTTGCTCACTTGCTACTAGCAGGCGACTTATCACCATGTTGGCACCAGTTCCCCTGATGGGCATAGCCAGAACATTTCCTTCAGCTCTACCTAGGAGACTAGAGAATATGGAGAGGGTCATTCAGTGTATTGCCTGCACTTTTTGAGCAGAAGAGAGAAAGGTTTCCGTTTTGAGATGGCTCAGCTCTTTGGTTTTTAGTTTTGTGGGTTTTTTTTTTTTTTTTT